AAAACAGTTAGCTTTTGAGCAGATGTCCAAAGAAAGGGAACAAATATCTAGACTGAAAGACAAGTTATTAGAAGAACAAAAGTCTGCGTTAGTTGATATAAGTAAGGAGAGACAGTCTCTGGCTGAAGAACAGATGCAAAGACAGAGAATTTTCACAAAGAGAGAGCGGTCAGATATTGAATTGGAGGCTCAAAAAATGAAATTAATGGAAGATCAGCATAAATTGCAAATTGATCAGGAACACTTTGAAAAGGAAAAAGCAGAATTTGATGTGAAGGTAAGGGAGCTCCTTAAAAAGGAAGCTAAATTGGACCAAGCTTTAAAAGGTCTACAACAACGTGCCAACGAAGTTCAGGATTTCACAGCTATTGCCTTAAGGATGAAGCAGGAAGGTGTAGAAGCCCTAGCTCTTTCTAGACAAAAGGAAAGCGAACATAAATCGCGACTCCAACAAATTGAAGCGCAGTTAGTAGCATTACAAACAAAAGAGAAGCGTATAGCGGAAGAACAGCTCGAATTAGCTCGCGGTAAGCAGCAAGGAGGAGCTTCAGAACTATGCCACAATTGTCGGCTACCAGTTAAAGATGTAAATGTCGAAATGGACAGAGCACCTATACCACTAACAACACAGGCCAGAAAATTATACGACAGATTACAATCGTACGAAAATGACCAAAGTCAAAATACGATAATGAATATTTCTAATCAAATGCAAGCAAATAGATCTATAACATTAGCAAAAATTCATAAGAAAAAGGTAAGCAATAACTTTTCCATTTTCATTATCATATCTCTCATCTACAAAAGTATAAATTCCATTTTAAATAATAGGATGAAGATTTTCTACAAGACGAAAGAATGTATTTACAAGCATTACAAAGCGCTTCTTACAACTAAAACGTAGAACCGACTTGTTATTAATAAATAAATCTGTACTATATGTTTTGATAAATCAATTTTAGTGTTTTTTCTATATACTTAGACTTTGTATTGTGTAAAACAATTAGTAAAAGATAATACAAAGAGTTACAGACTATCTAGTTAGAAAAGTTTGTTTTTGTTGTTTTGTTTCTTCTTGTTTTCACATTTACTCTAAACAGTTCAATATTCTATTTAATTCTTGTGTGGAAACATTGCCGGTTTCATTTTAGGATTTCTTTTAAATGGACTTTTGTCGCTTCTAAGTTTAAGAGAATTTTCATACATTTCAGCGTACATCTTGTCGACTAGTTGTTGTTGGCTTGGAATTCCATTTCTACCTCCTTTACTTGAATCTGAGTTTGCCAACATTGGCATTAGATGCCTCCAATAGGCGAAGCTCAATTGTCTATAGTTCTTTTTCATATTAATATCATTCTTTCCGATGTAAAGATAGTTTTTCTCTCTGTTTTTAGGTCAAGTGATTTATGATAACTATGTAAAAATAAGGGAAATTATAGAAAAGAACATACGTTTCTTTATATCCAGTCCAATTAGTTTCTGGTTGATCGGATGGAGGTTTTACAGGTGTTGGAGTTGGGTTTCTAGAATGAAAGAAAACAGTCAAATGACAATGATTGAACGAATTTATAAACTAAAAAGGTCTTTACCCAGTTTTTGCAAAGTTAATCCATAGTTCTTGAAAGTAGTCGGAATATTTATCATCCAAATCGTTCCATGCAACAATATCGAAAAAGAATTCTTGATCTTCTTGAACTTCTGGGTTTTCATTTAGGTAAGTATAACCCCAGACGTATGGAAGTTCAGCGTTGTGCATTACGCCTAACCAAGCGGGGAGAGTGTCGTAACTATTGTCGCTTCTATAGCCCAAAAGAAACATAAAGATATCTGAATCTTTGCTGATAATTCTTGCTTGGTAATCTTGAGTAAAGCCCCACCCAAAATCGGTACTAATCTATATTATTAGAAATATGTGTCAAGTGCGATACAACAATCTTTAACATTTTGTATTCAATTACCTCATTAAATTTTTGTCTGTTGGCTTCTTCGTCTTCAGGTTCGTCCCAGTTTCTATAATACCATTGTTGAAGTTTAACAGCATCTTCGCTTCTGTTGGGGAAAGCAACAGAGAATCTCTCGGTAAGTTTTCTCATTTCTCTAATCCAAACAGTCATATTCATTGGTCCGTCATTGGCAACGGGAACAACTGTAAAGAAAAAATTCAATAATTTAGAACATTCCTGCTTCAGAACACATTTCACTTTTTCTACATACGTGAAGCGGTATAGAGAGAACCATCCTCGGTTGTTTGACCAACGATCATGGGGCATTTCTTTGCTTCGCCACTCTCTCTTATTTCATAGGGATCTTTAGGGATAAATTCACCATCGACGACGGGAGTGAAACCGAGACAATAAAATCCAGGCTAAGGAATTTAATCAATTAGTTGATCTACATAGATAATGGTCATCATGTCTATTGTACTAGATTAAAATAGTGTGATAATTCTCAGTAATCTTAACTTACTGTACAAGTAAATCCTTGATTTTGGCGTAGTACATCTGCGTCAATAGTTCTGAGACAGTCCATCATTTCTTGATCATTAGGCCTAGTACAGTTCAATTTTTTGGCAACTTCGGCTGTGTATGTCCATGGTTTCTGAAGATCTTCGTTATAGGCCCAGATATTAAGATCAGCTCCACTCTCTAGGATTGCTTGCGCAAACAGGTTTTTGGTGGATGGAGCTAACGTAAGAAGACCTGCACTGCTAGCACCAGCGCTTTGACCGAAGATTGTGACTTTGTCTTTGTCACCACCGAAGTTTTCGATATTATCTTGAACCCATTGAAGGGCTAACCTTTGGTCCATAAGACCGTAATTGCCAGTAGCGGCAGCATTTGGGCCTTTTGTGGACATGAAACCTAGAGCTCCAACACGGTAGTTTGGAACTACTACGACAGTGCCCTTAGCTGCCAAAAAGTGACCTGGGTATTGGATGTTTGCACCTCCACCGTAACCGCCACCGTGGAACCAAACAAAAACGGGTAATTTTTCGGTGTTAGTTGCGTTTGGTGAATAGACATTCATGTTCAAGCAATCTTCGCTGAATCTATCCCATAAGGGATGAGTTAAGAGAATAACCCCTGTGCGCCCCTGAGGACAGGCTGCTCCGAGAGTGTCTGCAACAATAAGGGATTGTCTTTCGGGAACTTCTGGAGGCTATTGACATCAAGAGGGAGGATAAGATAATTTTTTGTTATCAAAGTGTCCTACTCGAGACACTTAGTGAATAAATAATACCTTAAAACGAAGAGGACCAACAGGAGGCTTAGCAAAGTTGAATCCAAGGAAACTGTTTACTTTCACCCCACTTGAAAGTGAAACGGTATGCCCTTCGAGAAGACCAAGGGTTGTTTCTACAAAAACTTTATCAGCAGTGGCAACTGCGGCCAACAGTACTGAAGCAATCAAAATCAATTGCATCTCTAGTGAATTACTACAACGCAAGAGAGTGAACTCAGTAATTCGCGACTGAGCTTATAATATAACTGTCTTATCTCCATTATCTTATCCATCAGAGTGGAAAATTTTTTTGCAATCAAAAAAATATAACTGAATTGATTAGATGTTTTTCTTAAACAGACTTTAATGCACTTTTAAGATGTACAACCCGCATGCTTATCACAGGAGACAACGTCATAGACAGTAGAACAATAATAATAATAAAAAAAAAGAAGTTAATGAACAATCAAGCTTTCTTTTTGAGAACACTTCTAAAGTCTATTTGTTCACCAGTTGTCTTTAAGGGTTTTCTTAGGGTTCCCTCCCTTTTTATTTTCTTTAATTTTGATCTCATTTCGATCAACGGTGCAGGATCGCTAACGTCCACTGCTGCTCCCCTATTCATCGCGGTAGGTGGAGGAGGTAGGGGAGGAGGAGGAGGAAGATGAGGTTGGAGTTTCATTTTAGGTTCTGATTTCATATCTTCTCTATGTTGCGTTGCACTTTCTCCGTCATCACTGAAAACCAGATAAGGTAATGAGTACGGTCAGCTAATATTTACATAGTAAATAAAAAAAAGCATTAATATTTCAAGGTCTTTGTCATTAAAAATAATTCAGAACAGTTGTTTTTTTAAATATCTTACGTGCTGCCCTCGGCTGGATATCTGGTAGGCCTATAAATAGCGTCGAAATGAGAAAAAGAAACATGTTTAACCAAGGGAGGAGTGGGAGGGTAGAAGCGACTCATGTATCTATTTCCGGTATTTTTAGGGACATTTTTTAAAAGCTCAGACCAATTTGCGGTAGTTTTGAGGCTGGGTGAAGACGGGGGTGGAGATGGCACATTCTCATAATGAGGATTCCGAAGGACAGTGTAGGGGGAACTACTCATTGATGCCGATGCACTTGAGTTTGAAGGCGTTTGCCTGATAAAAATTTTTCTATTTTTTGTTTGTTTGTTTGTTGTTTTGTTATTTTTTTTTTACATTTTTTTAATCAATAAAAAAAAAAAACAACTTGAAAAGCTAAAAAAAAAAGAAATAATTTTCATCCAAAAATGTTACTTCTTTTTTTTTTAAAAAAAAAATATAACGAAATAATAAAAAAAAATATAAAATAAATTGGGAGAAATTGGCAAAAATATAAAATAAAAAATAGAAGATTTTCTGTTTTTTCTTTCTTTTTTTTTGTAACAACAAACGAAAAGACGACGATAAAAAAACTGAAATAAATGTTCGCCTGTGTTTTTTTTCTTTTGGTCATGCGTGCTTGTTTTTGAAAAAAAAAACCAAGAACAAACGACAAGTTAAAGCTATAAAGAACAATCCTAGCAGCCTCGTTATCATTCTCTTACAAACCTCTCCACCAGAAGATAATCAGAAACCGTTTCGTAATCGGACCGAGAGCAAACATCCGAGTTAGCCAGTCTAAGAAAACCCCCTTACTTTAAGATTAATCGTGCAAATAAAAAGAAGAAGAAGAAGAAGAAGAAGAAGAAGAAGATAATGATAAGCAAAGAGATTATTGAAAAGGATAGAATATATATATTTATGCTTTATTTTACTTTGGTTCCCTTTTTTTCTAAAAAGAAACTAAGAAACAAACTCACGGAGAGAAATCGCCCGATTGTTTATTCTTTAGCATTGCATCTTGAAGAGGAGCATCCCATTCCGGGTATTTTTTGCCGAGTCCGGGAAGGGTACTATAATTATCATTTTGCGGTTTGCTAAAGGATAGGGAAAACTTAATAGGATAAAGGAATTTTGATAAAACAAATAAAATAAGGGTCGAAAGTAAGAGAAAACGTGTGGGATGTTTGTTTAGCTTTTTGATACTAAAGAAATGAAAATTTGATAAAACGGTTTGTCTTACTGAGCTAGTATTTTAGCAGCTACTTTCGTAGCCATTATGGCACGATAGAAATCATCGCCATCACCTCCAGAATGATCGGGAGATTCCAAATAATCCAGAACAGCTTCAATCGGCGGAGGAGGTGGTGGATCGAATGATGGTGGTGGAGGAATGAAATCAAATTTCATGTTTGTTATGGGTTTAGATAAAATTCCATTCTCAACCTTTCTCTCCTCGTACTGCTTAATTGCTTTAAATCTTCTATAATACTTTTGCAGTATAATTGCAGATCTCAATTGACGTCTTCTAAACAAAAACAATCGAACAATTCTTTGAAGCTTAACTGCAGAATCGAATCGTTTAAGTTTTGCTTTTAAAAGACGCCTCTTTTGTATAAAAATACGAATGCGTCGTTGTAAAAGGACGACTGCATTTAGTCTCCTAATTAGCCAAGTTCTTGCATATTTTTGAACGCGTCTTATCATATATATCTGCTTTCTAAATTTAATAAGACAAAGCCAACGTCTAACTTGAGCTTGAACAAGTAACAACCTCTTTAATTCCAATTCGCATCTTTTTTCTAATTCAAGGGCCAACGAATATTTAAGAAAGACTTTTGTCTTGCCAATTGCCCACAAAGATGAATCGAATTCGGATAAGAATCTATGGCAAGTAGATGAATTTTTCTCTGGGAATACCCAGAATAAAATTCTATAATTATGAAAGAGCTGATTGAAATACATTCTGTGCGAATATCCATCGTGGCGAATATGAGCCGTTTCTAAGGCTCCAGTATAGCGTAATTGGTTAAGGACCAATTGTTGATGCCATATTTTTGGACAGGCATCAGGGTTTGGTCTAATACATCTCACAAAATGAGCGTTACCGGTTACCATTTTTGACAAAAGTTCCATAAGACTAAATCTAAAGTAGGTGGTGGCGGTCTGTTGTGTCCTAGTTTGAGATCCGGTACTTGGTGATGATAACTGACTAGAAGTTGAACTAGGCGTATTAGGATTCACGTCAATTGCTCCTGTTTTGGTCAAGGACGATTTAAATAGAACACGTACCAAGTGCAGGGTTGAACATGTCAGAGCGATTATGATATCGGCTGGAATATAATCTCTATTCTTTGCCAGGAATTCATGGACGTTATAATCGACGTTACCCGCATAATGCTTTATGTTGAACATAAGAGAATTGGTTTTGTGTGATACATAATACGGGCTTTTAATATTTGTATTCCATTTTCTAACTAACGACAAATCGGTCGCATTTGGAAATCTACTTTCTTCGTCTAATAGGGCCAGTAGGCCTACTGGTCTGGATAAGAGCATATCTAATATTGGCCTATTATCAGTAAAACTGACCGAGGTTGGTTCAATACCTTCACTTTCATATTGCATCTTCTCCCAAGCGAAAATATGTTGAATAAAGAAATAATGCAACTGTTCATTAGCTATGTTAATATACAGTTGCTCTAATCCATTTACATCCATTTTTTCGAAACCAAATATATCTAATAGGCCTATTGTGCTTGCATTAACCAACTCGTCATCCGGCTTTAATAATGAATTACATTGGCGAATAATCCATGAAAACAAACGTCCGTATATTGCTTTAGAGAGAGCATCACGAACGTCGCTTGCCTCTTGAACTCCGTGCCATCTTATTATTGATTCACCACAGGCAACAACGGTCGATTGTGTAAGTAAATTTGATAATGTATTTATTCCAATAAGAGATTCTATTGTTTCAACAACATCGGAATTTGAGACAGAGCATCCCTGATTATGTTGTTTATCGACTGATTCAAATTTAACATTACCAATATGAAGAATAGCTGCCAATATTTTAAATACTTCCTTTGTTTCTATCTCATTAAAGCCTATAGTTTGTAGGCATAGACCTATGTCTAACTTTTCTCCAATATCCGATCTTTTATGACTATTATTCAAATAAGAAAATTTACATTTCCCATCGATTAAATTCGGAAGGCAATCGAATAAATGATAAAAAATATGAAAATTCCTTTCCATTTTCGGTTGAAAAACAACTCGAGATTTCTCCAAGAGATACTCGGATAGTCTGGCTCCGATGAATTTACCCTCGGGAGCGGTAAAGAATAATTCTAGATATTTGCCGAATCGACTAGAATTACTATTCAAAACTGTATGAGCATTTCCAAACGCTTCCAGTAGAGGGTTCAATTGCAGAATTTTATGTTGGAGACGCTTATCAGGAGCTTTTCCTAAATGCGTTAAATGTTGCAGAAGGAATTTTGTATTCTCCGTTTTACCGGAACCAGATTCACCCGATATAATAACAGATTGATTTTCATTTGATCGGCACATTGCCGAGTATGCTCTAAGAGCAATAGAATAGATATGTGGAGGCGCTTGGTCGTTTAAACTTTCATAAATCGACGACGTTTTATGATCGTATATATCGAGCGTTTCAAATGGATTAACGGTAATAAGTATATCGCCAATATTTGTATAGATTACCTTATTGAGAAAACGATCGTGAAGAACATTTGTTATGATTTCTTCGCTTAGATGTTCCATTGCCGCTAAGTCGTCGTTCATTTTGGAATATTTCGGTTTTTTTCCTTCCCTGAGTTTGCCTCTTTTAGTTGTTGGGTGAGCCTTATGAAGGATTCTTCCCGTCTTTTCTATAAGGTCGATAAGATCTTCGACGCAGTTGGAATCGTACGAAGTGATGAACGGATGCGAAATAAGTTCACTAACGAAAGGACGCTTTTCCATATCTTTTATTAGGCATTGACTAATAAAGTCATTCAATTTCGGTGATGATAAATTAGAATGGAGCAGCGTGGGCGGTGGACTACGGGGAATGTGAAATAATGCTTTTGAAGGACCAATCTTGGTTAAGGGAGGTTTACCATCCATCAATTCAATAGCTGTAATACCTAATGACCATGTATCAGCTCTAATATCATAACACGAATCCAATTGTGTTTCGCAAGCAATGACCTCAGGAGCCATCCAAAAGGGTGTACCGACCGATGTTCGTCTCTTCTCATTGGCTGTGGCCAAGTGCTTTGATATGCCTAATAATAATAATAAAAGACAACAATGTAAACATTGTTATTCATTAAAAAAAAAGAACTAAAATAAGAAAAACGTGTCGTACCGAAATCGATGAGCTTTACACGCCCTTCTGCAGTAAGTAGGATATTGTGCCCCTTTACATCCCGATGAATAATATTGGCCGAATGCAGCTTTTTTAGGGCAACAATAGTTTCCCTTAGAATGTAGGAGAGGATATGTTCGGAAAGTCGTTGCCCACTCTCCAAATTCCTTTTGACTATATCTGTAATTGATCCTCCCGAACATAATTCCAAAGCGAACCAGATTTCTTTATGCTCATCTCTCGAGAAGATACCATAGAACTTGGGGAAATTTTCATCCTCCGAAAATTCTTTCAGAATTCGGTACTCCTCTTCAATTTCTTCCAAATGTTCGTAAACATTCTCTTGAATTTTAACAGCTAATAGATTATTTTGAGTCTTATCTTTGACTACGTGACATTCTCCGTAAGTTCCTTCTCCAAGACGTTCTATTATCTCGAATTTTTCATATGGATCAGTCAGAGATGAAAAATCGATAATCGAACTCTTCAGTGTGTACATGTCGGCTGTTCAAAATTGATTATTCCGACCAATGGTTGTAGTTGTAGTTATTTTAACGTTGGAAATATAAACATTTACTCTCTTCCGCGTATTGAAACGCGGCCATTGCTTTATAAGAAATTTCTCATATTTCTTCCTTTTTCAGCCTTTACCGTGTAAGGTTTGGGCGTGACGGGCTGACGTACGTCGTATACGCGCTTAGAAGCTTCCTCTCACCTTGACATTATATACAGCATTCGTGGCGCCACAAACTAATTTTTATATAGTTTATTAGAGAAGGGGTTATCTTCAATCAATCTTTATCGATCGTTTCTCATTAGTCTGTCGATTTCTTCTCAAACTCCTTAAAGGTATATTGCGTCTGTAGGCCTACATCCTCCCTTCGCTATCGAAGGTCAAGGCCGTTGCCGTATTCGTTTACATTGGAAACGAACTTGAGACGTCACAGAATTATTTGATATGAGTGGATTTTCGAGTAACGCCGAACATTTAGAAGCTCGCCGAAAGGAGCGAGTTACAATGAAACATTGTTATTCAACACAACAACAGAACGTACGTATTGAATTCTTTTGAATAGAATTTATTATCTTCCAACACACGAATCGATTGAACAATAACTATAAAATAGCTAATTAATCAATTTGTTAACAATAAAGTTTATTACTTAAAAAAGCTCGTATCTTAATTATATTCTATATTCTTTCCTTTTCCTAAAAAGCTATATGATGTTGCAAGAGCTGAAAAAGCCGTACAGCACAGAAGAGAAATGGAATATTTAAACAGATTGGAAAGGGGAGAGTGTTTTTCACAAACGAAGCAGTTAGTACGTAAAGCTATGGTTGATCCTGTCTTTGTTGACAAGTAAAGTGTTTTACAATCTGCCCTTAAGGAGGGTTAAATAACTTTATACAGTTTAATAAGATTATGTTCAAAACAGTCAAAATAGACAAAGGTCTGGCTACGTTGAGTATTCTGCAAAACTACCGAGAAGATATACGGTATTACTATATTTCTTTTCTTTCATAATTCAAGTGGCATCTATATATATATATATACACTAATAAAGCTTCAATTTTTCATTTCTCACACTCTACTGCTCCCTAGTCAACTGATTACGTCATGCAATGGTAGAAAATCAACCTGTTCTGAAAACATGGACGTTTTCATATTAAAAGTCGTATTACTCTTACAGTATTACTGTTTATTTCTGATTAGATAGATATTTTAGTACAGCATAAAACAGCCTAAAAAGCTTTAAATGATTGAATAAAAATTTGAAAATATTAAAATATATAAAGATTATTCAAACGAAAATGGCAAAAGAAAAAAAGTAGCATTTTAAGCTTTTCTCTTTCTTTTTTATAGTAAATCTGAAATTTTCACCGTTCTCCTAACTGCATTTGAATAGCCTTCTTTAAATTGAAACCATACCTCTTTCAATAGGATTGTATTACCCGATTCTGTAACAATTATTTAAGATTAAATCATATCGTTGTTTTTTTATATACTCTATACAAATATTAATTAAATTATTACCTTTTGGGCTTTTTAGGTTTTTAGATCTTTCTATTTTGCGACCAAAAAAGTCAGTTGGAGCCTTTAAAAAAATGTATATAAATACATATATATTTATATAAGTAAACAATGATTTGGAAAACCTTTTCGTGTTTTTCAACAATACTTTTAGGTTGTAATTTTTGTCTTTTAAAATTAGGTTCAAGTTGTTGTTGATCTTTAGTCTTATTCTCTTGTGGTTGAGGTAGAGCATTGAATTTTCTATATACATAGATAACAGATAGATTTTGTATAAATATATATTTTTCTTAATTTAAATCAAACAAACTTTGTAATCGTTGTAGTTCTTTGACAAGTTTTCTCCTCGTTCGTTTCTCTTAATCTTAATTTTTCTAATGTTATCTTTAGTTGGCAGATAAGGAAATCGTTTCTTAACGATTACTTATATTAATATTTAATAAAGAATTAGATACCTCTCGGGAAATAAATTGTTTTATTGAATATGATAATTTGCTCTGGAAATTGCAACCTGGGAATGATGCTATTTCGACCAAGTTCCTATAGAAGATTAAAATTTGATTGTTCATAATTAATATACTATTTATATTTATCTTACGGTTCTATAAGATAATTATAGTGGCCGTCATCGGTTTTCTTCTGCTCGTATTCAAGTCCATAGGAGATCATTAAATGGATCACTCTCAATAGCTCACTTCTCTCTTTAGCGCTATATAATTCGGCATTTACCTAAAACACTAGAATATTGTAGGAATGTATATTAATGTATAAAATTTTATTACCGGCCTAAGGTTTGGTTCTAGAATATGAAGTAGCAATGGAATAAGTTCACAATTTGTGGTTATTTCATCTAAAAAGTGCCTTAGGGATGGTGTAATAGATGTTATAAACGACTGAACTAAACTGTCATGTTTAGATTTTTTTGTAAACGCCTATAATTAATTCAATTTAGAAAATTAATAAATTAAAATCAGCTTATTTATAAACTTGCCTCATACTGAGAATGCGGATATGTTATTCTTATTGAATGAATACTAGCTAAGAGCATATGAAAGGCAACTGGAACGAACGGTTGATATGCTTCTAAAGTATATCGTTGAGTTTGCTGTACTTGCTTGCCAAGTACATCAGAAAAGGCTAACCAATCAACAGCTTTATTTACCTATTGAATAAAAGTAATAATGAAAATAAATTGAAATTAATGACCATATCAATTAATATAATGAATACAAACTAAGTTCATATCGTGGTCCTTAACTCTATGATGAAGGTAATTTTCAAATAGGCCTTGACAAACTTTATCATATTCTCCAGTTGCCCATGATTGTTTTAGTGTATTCGAAAATCTTACAGATGGATGACTAGCATTATTAGATACAGCTTCTTTAAGCGTAATAATGTCAGTGGTCTTCCTTTCATGAGGATTAATATATCTCTTCCTGAATAATTGAAATTTTGTAATTGAAAAATAATAGATAATATAATGATATAATGAATAATTCTAATATTACATTGTAAAATTACTTACTGCTTGTTTGCTGGTATTTTGAAGATATAATTCCAAAGACCAAATAGACTTTTCTGGGTATCTTTAATACCGATATTTTCGTCTCGTATTTGATGAATATAGATACCGGTTCTTCCTCGTGATTTCATAAACTATTAATTTAAAATGAGAAAATAAAAAACAGAAATGTTCTTATACTATTATAACCTGTAGAGTATTTAAACAAGCCCTAATGTCATTATCGGTTTTCTCTCCTAATAACATCATTGTACTAACGTCTGAGTCGATTCGTTCGATTTTTAAAATCTGTAAATAGTTATTTCTTCCATTAAAAGGGGATATATTCCACTTAGAGAAAAGCTTATTACCTCCATTAGTCTATTGGACAATTTTTCAGATAGAATAGGTGGAAAATTAACAATAAAGGAAACTTGACGTAGCTGTCTTAATGCTGGTGTATACCTAGAAAAGAGCATAGCAGATTATTAAATAAATCACAATTTTTGTTGATTTATAATAGCAATGAAAAGTTTAACTAACAGATCGTTACATATACAGATTATAGGACGCCTAAGGATTCCCTTTTTAGACTTTTTAGTTGGGTCTTTATCAGCTGCTTTTATGACGTTTAATAAGATATTAATAGTTGCTTGAGGTGCTCCATCGATTTCATCAATGACTAAGCAATTTGGTCGACCGTTTGATCCTAGAACGGATTTCATTTGAGTTGCAGTTTCTAGTCTCCTTTTAAATACTTCTGTTGTTCGATCGTCACTGATCAAAGAAACTGTAATTATTTTTAAAATGTAAATATTAAATAAACAAACCTTGCATTAATTTCAACGACATCATAACCAGCGTGTCGGGCAAGTACGTGAGCCAATGTTGTTTTACCTAAACCAGGATTTCCACACAGTAAAACAGCTTTATAAAAAGGTCTATTATGAGAATCTAAAGTTTTTTCATTTAATTCATTTTCAGCCTTTGATTGGAATTTTTTTCCATTGTTGTTGTTGATTGACATCTTTGAATTTTTCATATTCGAATTAGGAAAGTTAGGTTTTGGTAGAACTGGTTTATTAAATACAACATGATCCCATAATTTGAGCCAATGTAGTATTCTTCTATTTATTGGCTAATGAAAAAGAAACTCGAATATGATAGCTATTTTTGAATATATTTCTTTTCAACTACCTCGCTAGATATTAGATCAAAATAGGATCTTGCCGAATATTTCTGAGCCCATAATTTATTCTCATCCGGCTGAAAATCTTGAGCTGATTCCCTGGAAAAGTTATGATAAATTCAATTTTTAGTACTTTTCAAATAATAGACAGAATAAACAATCTTACATTTCAAGATCCTCAAGAGTTTCTTCAAGCTCTAATCGTTTAATTTTCTATTTATACAAAGTATCGTTAAAACGTATACAAATCTTTTTGCCCTTACTTACCTCTTCTTGGGCTTTTCGATATAAACTATGCATTGGGATACCAAGCAGAGTATCCATTGTGTGAGTCTTATGCTTTAGAGGGTTTTCATTTCCTTCCTCTTTGACGGTCAGGTAATATCTTTCTCCGTTATTTTTTGTTAGTCTTATATATTTTCCTTTTACAGGGAATTTCTTAAGTAACCAAGTATTATCTTCCAGTGGTGGCGTTGGTTCTACATCAGTTTTTTTATTCAGTGGCTTGACTGGCATCTCCTTAATTATTTCAACACCATTTTTATTCGGTTCTACTCTTATCCTTTTAACAATTTCATCTCCAGAATCAGAGCTATATGACTCGCAAACTCTCTTGCGTTTCGTGTTTGTATCGATAAACAAGCAATTATCTTCTGTCGATTGTATTTCAGTTAATGGTTTAGGCGAGAACGATTTATTGAAAAGTTCATTCTGTTTTTTCTCAGTTCCATCGAATTGAAGAATCCTCTTCGATTGAGATTCATTTCTACTTGCTGTTAAATAAAATACAAAGTTATTTGTCATACAAGTAGTGTGAATTATATTATCGCTCACAATTTTCTAATTCCATTAGGTATTCCATTTCATCAGCATGGTCCTGTTCGAATATATCCTCTTCATCCATTGTTATTTATTTTAAATACTGATAAAGAGCAACAAAAACAAGACTTGATATATATACAATAAAGCTTCTAGGAAGATGAATTACTTTTGGCGCGGAAATATGAACAATAGTAAAATATTCAGATATCAACTGGTTTAAGTTTTTGTCGTAAAAGCGACATCTATACGTCTTTTATCAAATGATTGTTATAGGACATTTCGACTATCGCAGGGACGACAGATATATTGACCGTATTGAGTTTAATACCTAAGGACACCAATCAGTATCTTCCACAATAACAATGGATACTCTGGCGATGATCGAATACTTAACAATTGGTATAACACTTCTAATGTTCGGAAGTGGACTGTAAGATTATACAATTTATTTATATAAGCTGTTTAAATTTTAAAGAAGTTTTTTATCTTACATAAAACAAATAGATACTTTTATAGAAAGAAGTCGAACTAAGCAGTTATTAATAAATCTTATTATTTATTGTTTTTTTTTCATCTTTTCATATTTCCTAAGACCAGTGTGTTATAATATGATAAAATCAAAAAGTACTAAAAATGTTCCCTATCCATTCTTTCTTCTTGGCCTTGTTGGGTATGATAAATAAATTGTTATATATTTATAGATGCTTTACTTATTATTCTCTTTAATTATTGTTAGGTGCGAAGGCATGTGGCATTATGGAACAATAATTAACAATGGAACACTTATTCTGTTAAATTCTTTTGGAACAATTTTACAAATTGTTTATATATTGGCCTATATATCTGTCTGTAAATCTAAGGTAATGGACAAGTATTTTAGATTAAATATTCATAGCTAAAACACCAATTTATAGTAAAAATTTTTTTCTCTATAATCAACATAGACACAACCTTTACTATATCTTTCAATTATTCTCTCTTACCTATTGGGAATATATGGATATATCTATACGGTCTACGACAACGACAATCAGAGAGGTGCAGTACTTGGAGCATCTTCAAGTATTGTAACAACAATAATGATGGTGTTACCCGTTTTTGAGATCGTGAGTATTGTTAGATTAATAGCTTTCCTTATCAACAGTTGTATCACAAATAGTTTTATTTTATCATCTTGTGCAATAGGTTGATAACTTTAAAAATAAAAATGCAAATGGTATGCCTCCAGTTATGCTTATTTTTGGAAATATTTGCGCAATATCATGGCTTTGGTATGGGATTTTGTTAGGAGATATTAATATATACGTAAGTGTTCTTTATTATTATAGTCAAAATGAATTAAATATGTATTGTTTCTTTTTCAATGTCCTTAAGGGTCCAAATATTCCTGGTATCCTCTTGAATACAATAAAGTTATACGCTATTTTTTTATACGGAGGCAAGAAAGAAAAGGACTTGTAAAGTGAATAATAGCTGACAATTAACATAGAGAAACGACTGATATCTATAAAATTTGATTATATATGACTAGGTTATAATATTTTATTCAAGCTGTTTAATGGTATAATCTGCTAAAAGAAAATATAGATCATATCCCAACCTTTCAAAATCATAATCTAATAAAATGATAAAAGAAATCTGCTTGAATGATTCTCTTTCTCTCTCTCTCTCTCTCTCTCTCTCTCTATCTCTATCTTTCTTTTATTATTATCTTATTTACTTAAAGATAATTAAATATACTATATTTTTAAGAAATTTTTACTACAAACCAAAGATTAGATATTTAATTCTTTTAGTATATTAAAAGTTAAAATAAACATTCAAAATGAAAAAAGAAGAAGTCTTATGTATAAAAAAAAACATGTAAAAAAATCACAAGCTAACTTTCCCCTTTAATGGATAAATATTACAAAAAATTTGCTTGCTTTAAAGATAATAATAATAATAATAATAATAAATCATTGCACAGCAAACGTTGTTTCTGACGTATTATGAATTTCTAACTATGGCTTTAGCGGATCCATCTTAAAGAAATAGGATAATTAGTACAGAATACGGTTTTTTAAATTAATTAATTTACTTGTATCAGTGTATTGTGGCGGTGGTCCTCGTCCTGGGAAATCAATAGTACTCATTTTTTCTTCGGAATCAGGGTCCAAAGGTAATGTTGAGTTATCTGTTAATTTAAAATTGATTTTTAATTACACTGATAAGGTAAAAAGTTGTTTAAATAAAAGAACAATATATTACTTATTGGTTTAAGAGGAGTTTCATCAATATCCTCGTGATATACATATTTACTGGCCACTGAAAATCCTGCTATAGATATATCATCTGCTCTTGAACGTGCAAATGTTGGATAATAAGACATGGATGGCATCGTATGTCCAATTGTACCTAAAATTTTACATAAAAATATTACATTAATAATGAAATTATTGATAAATTAAAAATGTTATAAATCATCAACAAACAAACTAAGAATAAGAATGTTTTTTTTTTAAATATCAAGTGGTTTAAATTGTCTAAGAAAAATTCAATTAATAGAGAAAAGACATCAATTAGAAAATAAGATGGTGCAATAATATATGGAAAAAGTTTGTTAAAGGTCAAATACAAGATATAAAACACTACAAAATATCACTGTTTATACCGAAAAGACTCGGTTCATATCCTGTTGCCACTATGGAACCTTTTTGTTTCGGAATTAATTAAGCCATTAGAAAATGTAAAATTAATTATGAAATGATATTGTTCTATCATTTTATAATTATAACATGAATAATAATATGATATCAAATATTAAAATTGAATATTAAATACCTGGTCCTATCCTTGATAGGGTAGCCATTGATGGATTGTGTTGAGGCAAACCTGATGGTGCAATTACTGGTTCGTTTTCTTTAAACTTTTTCTCATCTAAAGCATTTTTCTTGTTCTTATAATTCGACCTAAAATAGATGATACAGTTTTATATTAATTCCGAATGGAGTAGTTCTATCTCATTAGTTTTACCTATACACGGCGTATGCTATGGCAATACAGAGTAGGATTAAGAATACAGCACCACCAATAGATCCTCCAATAATGTACTTAGTATACGAATCCTCTGTTTTAAAGAAACGTTTATATAATAAATTTTTGTAGTAACAACTAACCTTTTTTCAAGTTATCACAACGTGGTCCTTCCCAACCAGAATTACATTTGCAAGGTGGAATTTCGTCATTAACATAGCTGCTATCGCAAATTCCATTCACGCAATATTCAGGATTTCCACACAGTTCTACATGAGTTCAAGTTTAAAATTATTAGTCTCTTTAATCGTTTTATTGATATAGCAGTTACATACGAGTGCATTCTGGATGAGTAATATTTGTGTTGTTGGTAACATAGTGGCTGATTTCGCATGGACAATTTACTTTACCATTTACAAATTGGCATTTAGTACCCTTTGGGCAAAGTTTACTTACTTTGCAAGGGTCTACGAAGGATTGAAATGATTAGAAGGTACTTCAAAACAGTATTATACTTTTATATTTACCAAGACAATCGCTTTCAAATTTTGCACCCTCCGAATTTGTCTGTCTAGAATTGGGACATGGTTTGCAACTCTGCTGCCCCCTTTCATCTTGATAAGTATGCCTTGAACACTGGGTACATACTGGTTTCGTTCCGTTGACTCTGATCGTCCCTTGATCACAAAGTTCACAAGTTCTCGATGCAAAATTAAATCCTTGTCCAATAGGACAGTCGTCTAATGAAAGTTTAAAGCATTAATAGTTGTACGTCTAATCAAGTTGTCAGTTTTCAATTTACCTATACAGTCGCTTTCGTTCTTACTACCTATACCAATTGTTAATTTATTGTTTGGGCATGCCTTACAAGTAGTCTGATACAATGTGTCTTGGTAAAAATCTTCAGGACATTTCTCACATGAACCAGGTTCCACTTGGGAATTTATCAATTTTTCTCCAAGGGTACATCTCTTGAGGACACAGTCGCCTGGAAATTTAGACCCTGGTGCTCTAGTTCTTAATTCAGTTGGACATTCCGTGCAGGATTCAACTCCCCTCTTGGGTTTAAACGAAATAATTTCACAATCGACACATTGTGAATTCTTACTTTCCTTTCCGGCATCACATTTTACTATAAATAGAAAAATTTTACACATTTAATCATAGTAATTAATGCAGTTAAATGAATTATTAACTAACTTAAACATTGAGATTCTTTTGTAGAGCCCTCAGCTATTGTTCCTTTATCATCTGGACAGGTTTTACACTTGGGCCAACCCTCCTTATCTTGATAGCTACCTTTAGGACAGTCTTCGCATTCAGTAGCTGACTTAGGTTGTTGTCCCATCAAACAATATACTGTTTTATTATTATCATTAAAATTAGTAACATTGTACGTTGAAAACTATTCTTCTCATCACTTACTAAGGGTACATTGGCTTTCTGTAACCGATCTTAACTCTGGGGTCGTTTTACCAATGGGACATTTAGTACAGCTTTCTTCAATTCCAGCTTTTCTGTAGAATCCGTATGTACAGTTGCGACAATCGCGAGTAGCAGTACCTGGTATCATTTCTTCTCCATCCGGACAAACATCTGAAAACGTTTAAATAACATTTTAAAAATGAAATATTTTCTTTTTTAGCCTGTCGAATTACTTACCAATACATTGATTAACATTGTTTGATTCTTTTGCTAGGGTTGTTTTCATGGAATCGCAAGGTTTACAGAAGAAAGAACCTTCTTCATTCTGATAAAATCCGATTGGACATTCAACGCATTGACTTGTAGTTTTATCGAACATTCTTCCAGATGAACATTTTTCTAAGAAATGATCATTGTCATCAGTTTTTTAATTGATAAAAGGATAAAGAAATTTACCGTGACAGTCATTTACACTTGATGTACCAGCTAGTTCCGTTGTTCCAGTTGGACAAGGTTTACAGGTTGTTTGAGCAAGATCATCTTGGTATTCTCCTATGGGACATGGTTTGCAAACGCCTCCGTCTTCTTTAGTTCCTCTACTACATTCAACTGTTAATTTAAGAAGGCAGGAAATCGATTAATTTAGAGTAAGTAAACTAAAATGCTATCATTTACCGCAGCCTTTTCCAAAGTCAACTTGTCCTGGTGGGCAGATTCCTTGTGGACCTAAACTAAGAGTACTGTAATCTGGAACTGCATTATTGTTTCCAGGCTAAAAAGATATAAACAAATATTAGTATAAATAGATTTACGAAAGTTCTCGAGAATCAACAATACTAACAATTGGTGCAGCAGAATTATCTATTAGCTCTTGTTTTAAGACATCTACAGGCGACAAGGTATCATCTGGATTCTTTCGTTCAACAAGTGGACTGAAGGACAGATGAATATAGGAAATCCGGTATCATATAAAATGGGAATACTCACGGTATGCTGCCACTAAGCACGCCAGTAACTGCAATTTTAGCTCCTGTTGCTCTCCTCCTTCTCTTAGATGTTTGGCATTTCGCCTGTTGGCGAATTTATTTCTGTAGTATTATTCATTTTTCTATATTTATAGTCTACAATTACCTCAAATTGAACGTTTGATGCATCGCAGCCTGTCGTACCACAAAATGCTCCACTACCATCAGGTCTCTTCCAGATAGTATCGAGACTTGATATAACCGAATTTAAATGATCGGAAGCTGCCGCTCTCTGAGCATCATCACAAGTTGGTACGGAATACTGGAAATTTAGAGTTATTTTGATAGTCTTCGGTTTGTATGCTAGAGAGAGAGAGAGAGAGTGGGAGACAAAGTGGACATTTTATTTCAATCTTTCCTAGTTTAAGATTATTGACTTACGCTCGCAGCTGTCAAGTTTAAAGTCCAAAAACTTATTCTTAACATTATAACTCTTCATAGGTCCACAAGAATAATAAGTTGGAGTATTGTAAGGAATTATATGATCGTCATTACAAATTACTTTACACGCTGAGAAGAGGCCATAATCTTTGCATGAAATGGTTCCTTGACTAGGGGTTGTTGGAGCTGAACATTGTTGATGATCTACGGGAAAAATTAAAGAAATATTTAATTAATTTCTCCATAAACGAATCGAATCTTACATTGAACGAAAACATGGAAGAAACAAGTTCCTCTATTCCCAGCTGTATCTGAAGCTACAGCCAAATTCCTATAATATCCCCAAACAAAAGGTCTATCTTTCGGATGTTTGATACTGATTGTAGAGTTAACTTCGTTGGCGGTTAAATCATCCCATGAAAGTATAGTGTGTCTTTTTGATCCGTATTTTTCAATTGGTTCCGCAGGGCAATTAAGAATAACGGGTGGAGTTTTGTCAACTTTAATGAAATATTTAATTATTATTATTTAATTACAGATTGTCTTTAATTTAAATTACCGTTCAAATTTTGTTGGCAATTTAGTTGACTAAAGCAAAATTCACGGGTATCAACGCCTTCCGATGATATATAGTTATCCCACAATGATATGAAATCCTTAGGAAGTTGATTAGGGGTTAATAAAGTTTTCGATAGAACATTTCTCATTTCTTGCAAAGATAGAGGTCTATTCCACATTGTTACTTGAGAAAGTGCGCCAGTAAAACCAAACTTTTCTACTGGTCTGTGTCCCGTTGCATCCATTTCACTTCCAAGAACAAATAGGCCACTAAGTAAATAAAAGAATTAATATTGAATGAAAATGTTCATTTGAACGAACATACTATTCAGGCAATTCTGCGCCTTTTCCAAAGGTTTGAGTATCTCTTAGGAGACCGTCAATATAAATATCTAATTTACCAGTGCTACCAGTCCAACTTATGCCTAGAAATTATCAAATTGTAAAGGATAGAAGATGATAAAAGGAAGAATAGTAATAGTGTACCTATAAAATGCCATAGACCATCATTAAATAGAGCGTTATTAGGGAAATTAAATTCCTTTTCTTTTCCGTTCAACGTAGTCTTTACTGATCTTTCATTTATTTTCAATATCTCTTTCCGATCGGAAGTAAGATAGCGATGTCTATGTGAATTTTTAGTGAGAATTAATTAAGCTATCTGGATCTTTCAGAAACAAGAAAAAGGACTTACTCTAAACCAAAGAGAGTAAGAAAGGTCCCTCTGATCTCTCCTATATCGAAAATAGCTCCTACGCTTACTGTAAACTCAGTTACATTTAATATAAATGGATAACGTTGGAAAGCCATAGCCGTTCGAGTAGGAGAGGAGAAAACAAGTTCAAAATTACGATCAGCATCTTAAAATAGAAGTGTAACCGTTAATAGTTTTACTGTCTAATTAAGTTATACGAGGAAAATCTTACCTCTACTGCAGTCGTCTCCGATTTTTCCCAAAGGACATTCGCAAAAGTAATCCCCAACACCATCAACGCAAGTTGCCGCTGCGGATAAGCAAGTCTTTCCTTGACAATCGTCGTGACTGATCTCACAAATATCACCGCTAAAGTCTGAACGAAAAATTCAAACAACAAATGTATATTAGAAGATAAAGTATCAAGATATAGAAAAGAGGAGGGAAGAAAAAATACCTTCGGGACAATTGCAGGAAAAGCCACCCTTAGTATAGGAGCATTGACCTCCATTCAAGCAGATGCCTAAACCACTACAAAAGTCTCTCTTAATGTGACAGCTCTCTCCGATATAGTCTTTAAAAGAAAAAAATGGACTTAATAATTGTTATTCTAATGAATGTAGATAAAAACGAACTTCTTGAACAAGTACAAGTTGCACTACCATCGTTATTGTCGCTACAGGTGGCATCATTGTCAATACAAGCATCAACTTTAGTGCACATTCTCGAGTCTACATTACAAGTTTTTCCGTGATCGCCTGCCCTACATCTAGTTAAGGGAAAAAAAGATAAAAAACGATCCAGTTTTTAGTAAAAATATGTCAAAAGAAGTGGAAATTTACAAGCAGAAGTATCCATTTTCTGAATTAAAGCACGTTCCGCCATTTGTACAGGGAGAAGCTTGACAGAAATCTTTTGGAGTCTCGCAAAATTTACCAGTCCATCCTGACTTACAGTCGCATTGCCAATCGTTTACTAAATCTTTACAGACACCACCGTGGCGACAGATATTTCCAGGACAATCGTTGATATTTACCCCGCAATCCTGTCCTTCAAATCCATCTGAAAAAAAAGTAAACTTTAATAACTCTTTCTTATAGCCTGATAGCCTGATTACAAACCTTTGCAGTGGCAAATATAACTGTTCAAAATCTTTTCGCATCCATTGTCAAATATAGTGCTATTCGTTCCAGTTGGATCACACGGATTAGAAACACATTTGTCCTCAAAGCCATCGCAATTCTTTCCTAAATTAGAGAAGTAGATGAATGTAATATTTTTTTTCGTATATATATGAAGCAAGTGAATTTCACCTGTTACGCCAGTTTGACAAGTACACTTATAGTCTGCTATAAGATCTTCGCATTTTTCGCCGTATCTTTTTGAAAACAAGATAGAAGAAAGTTAGATAAGTATTGTCATGTCAGATAAGATGAAATCGAAAATAGAATGATACCTTCCGCACGGTTTTATTGCGCATTCATCAATATTATTCTGACAGTTTCCACCAGAATAGCCTGGTTTACATTTACACCTTTATAAATTAAAATTTAATTATTACTGAACTAATTATCTTTAAATGAAGTTTTCACATACTCGTATCCCACTCCAGTATTCTTTTGCTCACATACAGCATTATTCTGACAAGGGCTAGATGTACAGGCGTTACTCTTGACGCATTGTCCAACAGATGCAGCTTAATTTGAAAAAATATTAATTACATTTGCCTAATTGATTTATTAATGCTTCTATTTATATAATCACAGACTTACCAGTTATACTTTGTAACCATGTATTATTATTAGCTCCGATGGCTTAATTGATTATGAATATATAGTTAATTATCCTATTAACAAGATATTTAAAGTCTTTACATACCGGCTACATAGCCCTCTTTGCATATGCAAATATGATTATGGACTTTGAAATCAAATTTACATATTCCAGAATCTCCACAAATATTAGGGGTACAAGGTGGTACTATTTCGCAATTTTTACCACTAAATCCTGGAGAGCACTTACACTTGTATTCAATTTCGTCGACGCTTTCGCAAACTCCACCGTATAAGCATGGATTTATACTACAAGGTTCTAAATTTTAGATAAAAATATAATTATAACAACTGTTGATGTGAAATGTTTAAGAAGTCGAACCTTTGGAAAATTCGCAACGTTTTCCAAAGAATCTAGAAAAGTCGCAATGACATTCAATATGAACTCCTTTAGAACCACTTGTTCTGCATTCACCATTGTTTTTACAGGGATTATTTGCGCAAATATCCGATGATTGCTCGCAGCTATATACAATAGTAGATTTATTAGAATAGGTTATTTTCGTACAATTAGGAGATAAAACCTTGATCCTGTATAGCCTGGTGGACAGAGACATTCTGTATCGAAAGGATTGTCTTTGCAGAATCCGAATGTGCATGTCGTTGATGTACAGCGTTTGGTTGTAGTTTCACATCGATCGCCGGTAATTCCATCTAATAAATATTTAATATGAATATATGATTATATAATTTCATCTAATTATTTTAATTAGATTTAATAATTTATTAAAGAAAGCTATTTACTTGGGCAGGAACATGTAAAACCGTTAACTTTTCCGTTGCAAGTACCACCGTTATAACAAGGACTAGATAGACAATGATTTATTTGATTTTCGCAGGATTCTCCATCGTAACCTTTGTGAAAGAGATAATTAGATTTTAATTAAGAATATTTACACTTTTTATAATATAAACCTGCGTTGCAAGAGCATATTTTCTTATGGTTCTGAACACTACAAGTTCCCTGATTGCTACAAGCCAATGCTCCATTGCACAAATTCGCAACTGTACAGTAATTTTAATGAGTGGAATACTTGAATAACTAGTTTAGAGTTATTTTTTACTTACCAGCGTCTAGGCAATCAGATGAACTTTTTGATTCGTCAGTCACTGTATACTCAGTTCCGGCGCATTCCTTACAAGTTGTTGAAGCTGATACCTCCGAATAAAAATTTACTGGACATTTTTCGCAAGCTGTAAAACCAGTTTTCCTAGAGAAAAAACCAAGTGCGCAAGGTTCTTTGCAATCGTCTGGAGAGCTTTTACCGGTGCCTTCAGTTTTTTTAGATCCGTCACAAGGTTGGCAATTAGATGAGTCAATCATGTATGAATTTGCAGCACACTCTACACAGGGTCCAACTTTAGTGGCAGAAATCATGCCATAAGTTTTACAGGCAGCTAAAACATAACAAGACCGTTAAAAGCATGAAATAATATTTAATAAAGCAATTACGTTTGCAATCCGACTGGGTAAGTGAACCCTCGGAAGGAGTCCACTCATCATCGCCACACTTTTTACATTCACTCCTACCAAACTCATCCTGGTATTGACCAGCCGGACAAGGTAGACAATCGTTCGAAGTTTCATTGAAATAAGTGCCCTTATCGCACTTTACTATTAGGAAAAATTATTATAAATAGGTATTCAAGGGTTTTCAGAAGATAAAAATATTTTCCTACCGCATAAACTCAATTTTGCAGAACTTAAAACGAGCTTCTCTCCTTTTGGGCAGATAAAATTATTATCTATCCTTGTGCTGACAGTAGAGTCTGTATCATTTCTCTGAACAAGTCGTGGACAGTCATTTGTAGCTGGTATCTCTCCAGTTGGGAATTCGTCAAATGATAATTGTAGATTGATAAGTATTATAAATTTACAAATATCTTGAGATAGTTTTAATAGACTGTTAGGTCCGACAAAGAATCCGAGATGATACTTTACAGAATCGCTTGAGGTTTGTTGGTAATTGAAATACTTGGACTGAAAGCTTAGATCATATGAATAGAGATTTTCTAAGACTGCACTGCATCTCTTGTTCATTACATTTAAGAAATTCGTATCATTTGAAGCTCTAATTTGCATTTCACTCGAGTAATGTTGATCACAGTTCTTGTTTGTTGGAATAGACGTTGATGCCTCATATGTGATATCATACTCTATCAAGTATCTTGCAGGAATGGCGTCTATATTTGACATAAGATGAAAAACATTGAAATTTTGACATATGATAGAATAGCAAACCTTGGCAATCTGGAACATAGTCCAAGAATTTTCCACTCTCGTATTCCCAACTCCAAACGGCATCGACTTTTGTCGAATCGCATTTATACTCCATAGTGAAACTACCTATATTATTTGTTCCAGCTGGAGAAATGTGTCGAGGAACTTTACCAGAGTTGCATCTGAAACGACAACTGGCAATTCCTGTTCCTTGGTTCAAAGCGCAAGGTGTTGCGGCATATCCATCTTTCGGTGCTTTAATAGCCCAAAGTTGACATTTTTCAGCTAAAAACAAGAATAACAACAATCATCAGATGACTTTAAAAAGGATATTATACAAATCTTACGTATAACAGTGATCATATATTTGCAACTAGCCGAATTTCCATCGGAATCTGTTGCGGTAGCAGATATCACATAGTTGGTTCTATCAAGAGCATCATTCGTTGTATAATCAATAGTTGAAGGATTGTACGTAATAGTTGGTGTTCCAAGATTATCGGTGGCGGTAGCTGCATTATTATCTGTAACACTATAGCCAATCCTATTTTCGGTAATTCTATGGACGTACGAGGTTGGACAAGAAATAGATGGTGGTTGATCATCTAAGAACAGTATTAATAATATGTTAAAAAGTCAATATTAGATTTCCAAGTGTACAGATTGTAATACCTTTAACTCTTATTGTAAATGAACATTTTGCCTGATTTCCAGCGTGATCTTCTGCTGTATAGGTAACATCAAGAGTTTCTTTAAGAGCTACATTAGAAGAAAACCAAATCGGATTGACTGTGAATGATTTAACAAGGCCAGAATTATCCGTTGCTGTAACTTGCGGAATGTTTGCTGCCTTTAACTTGTCGATAGAAATTGTACTCGATGGGCAATTTTGAAAAACTGGTACTTCAACGTCTATTTAAAAAGAGAAAGCGTTATTACAATAAGTAATTGAATTATAACCAACCATCGCAAGTTGGGATTGGTCCACTCCATTTCACCGTTGTATCGCTTATACATGTTATATTGGGAAATGTTGGCTGAAAACCAGGTCGATCACATGTGAATATGGCATCCGAGTTGACTGTGTAGCTGGTAGCAATTTGTTTTCCTCCAGCAGGAGTACCAGGATCGGAACAAGTGTCACCTAGGTTACACATATTTTCCTTAATTAATTATGAATACTATTCATTAAATTGTATTAATATTTTACCTTCACAACGTAAATCTCCTAAATTCCAAAAACGTCCACGGCAATGGAGTTTTCCAGGTGGGAGAGCAGTCGTCGTCACTTGAACTTGCGATCCTTTAAGGGTAAACAAATTTTTACAAACAAAATCAGCCTCTCCACCAAACGTAGTTGCTGTTGTTACGGAAAATGGCTCAACCCCTTCAACCTTATCCAATCGACCGCAATCAAGAACTGTTCAAATAGGATTAATAAAGTAAAGGTGAGAAATTTACTAAAGTTATTGCTAAAGTATATATTGACCATTATCGCAAATTCGACCAACGCCGGCGACTATTTCATAGGTATGAGTTCTTGAGTCATATTCACACCTTTCTGAATAGATCTTTGCGTTCAATGTTAGTCTGTTGCATATAAGATCCATAGTTTCTCCATAGGCAACTTGCGATTGCGTAACAGTTGGATAATAACCTTGAATATTTTGATCTTTTTTTGGTTTTGTACAGTTTGCCCCTGAAAAGAGAAGTTTAGATTTAAAAAAAGAACAGTATAAAAAATGTATTAATATTTATTCTACAAACTTAAACATGGTGGGGGAGAACGATCGTATTGTCCCGATGCGGTGCAAGTCAAAAAATTTGGCTCATTAGCTGCTAACTGATAACCTAGATCGCATGTTATATATACTTTATCTTGATAAGATGGTAGGTTATTGAGGCCAAGAATAACGCCATTAGGAAGATCATCAGGTTTGAAAATAGGACATCGAACGCCTGAATGAATATTAATAGAATGAGCATTTTTTTGTTCGTATTTCAAATAATAGTAACTTACGTATGCAAGTATGATTCAAGTGAAATTTATTCCAAGATTCTCTACCAGTTTCTCCTGATGGAATGAAGAAACCATTCTTTCCATCCTCATCAAAAAGAACAAACCCGTTGTTGCACGAACATTCATAGCTTCCTATTAAATAATTGGAAAGAACGATGAAAAATTGATGCTAGTACTCGAGCAAAGTTTTTAATTTACCTTCAGAATTTGAGCATTTATGATCACAATCTCCATTGCCCACATCACATTCATTAAAATCTTCGCACGATGTTTTATTTGCTGTCAATTGATAACCACTTGGACATTCGCATTCGTGACTTCCCTCCGTATTTACACAGATGGCATTACCGGTACATTTATGTTTTGCTGGATTATCGCATTCATTGTCATCTATTCAACAAACAAAATTTATGAAATATGAAATCTATTTAATTTATTTCTCTACTTACCAATACATTTTGGTATTTCGTTAAAAATTCCAGTTTCCAGACACTTCATGACGGAATTGCCTTCTATTTTGTATCCAGTTGCGCAAGAAACAGATATTTCTTCATTGACTTTAGGAGGAGTATTTGGTGTAAATGTAGCTTTATCAACGGTTGGAATTTTACAAATTATGTCTGAAAATTAAGGAGAATTAAAACTTTCCTTCGCAGATTAAATCAAATCGACAACCTACCTGAGCATGCGAGATTAGATGTTGAAGACCAATCGTTTCCCAAACAGACTACTGTGGGATATATAGTTAATTCCTGACCAGGTGAACAAGTGAAAGACCAAACAGATCCGTAATCTTCTCCTTGCCCTGATTCTAATTTTTTTCCGGGAAAGTTGCTACTACTGAATTTATCATCGCAGGATGTTGCTGATAAAATTGAGAAACGTTAGTTAGCGAATTCAAATTTGAAGTTGAAATCAGTTGAAAACAAATATCTACCTATACAAGATGGCTTGCTTGTCCACTGCCCAGTTTTCTGACAAGTAATTGTTGCATCACCGACCATTCTAAATCCATTTCTACAATTATATTTTACAGTCTTTCCAAATGTAATTCCAGTTGATTCGATAACGTATCCATTATTTAGAACTGGAGGTATATTACAAGACACAGCTTCACAGTTTGGTATAGCGTGAACGTTCCACCCGTTAACTTCGCAAATCATTTCAACAGATGTCTTTTGTTGGTGTTCTTCTTGAGTGAATGCATAACCCTCTTTACAAGTAACTGTAATTTTTCCTTTTAAAGCCAAATTAATAGCGGTGGATTGAGTATTGGTGTTAAATTGTGGTTTCTCACAACCGCCCGAGAATGTCGCTTTAAAACCTATTCCAGCTTCAACAGCCCCAGTTGTAAATACAATAGAAGCCGATCCAGAGGTAGCCTCGTAAGTTGGGCCAATTGTCTGATCAGTTTTTGATATAGAAGCAACTTGAGTGGGATTGTTTATGTCGTCGAAAATCTGTTAATAGTCATATCGTTACGGATAAAAAGATATAATTACGAAATTCACCTTTATCGTATCAGAAAGTCCATATTTGGCAAGTTTTGATTTCGAATCGAATTGGAAAGTTAATTTCGAACCACCAGGAGAAGTAATATTCCACAAACATGTTTGAGATGGAGGATATGTTGTAGTAGCTCCATTATAACCAGGTGAAATAATGATACCGGAAGTAGAATCAATTGAAATATCACAACCTTAAATATATTCGCAAGGTAATATTAAACGAGAGAATTGAATATAATTTAATATAGCTCACCTTCTTTATATGTAAATTTAAATCCTTTAACTTTTTGTTTGTTACCAGTAATGAGGTATAATTTTAAAAATCGGCCGGTGCTTGTTATGTAACTTGGTCCAGAATTTCCTTGATACATTCCAAGAGTAGCAGCTTCGGATTCTTTACCATCTTTAACAATTAAATAATTTCCAGCTCCTAGTTCAATTTCAACTTTCTATTTAGGATGAAAAGAAAAGTTGAAAAATACAATAGAAATTATTAAACAGTATAGTAAAACCTCAATAGTAATAATTCCATTCCATTTTTCAACTTCAATAGTCCACTCTTCCCTTAATCCACCTAATAAGAAATTTGGATAATCAGGTGAAGTTAGTTCCGATATTCCATTGGTTTTTAACTCTCTCGAACCAGTTGTTACTCTATCAACTAAAAATATGGAATACTTATGAATTAAAACAACAAGTTTATGATGTTGATTTTAATTATTACCAGAAGCCCATTTGGCTTCAAAGCCATCTAATTGTTTTGCAGAATCGCTATAGAATCGAATGATAAGAAAATTGTTATTGCTATATACGCTTGGTAAAGAGCTTGATCTATCTCCTGAGTATCTACTTAAAAGACTACTAGTAGAAATAGACCTTCCTCCACTCCATACTTCAACAACATCTCTATCTTTCTCAGTTATAAGTTTAGTAAACTAATGAATGAATTAATAACATCAATTATTATATTAGCTAATCTTATTTAGAGCGTCTAACTCTACTTACATCTAATTTTATCCTCTTTCCGATTTCCGTTTCCAGAAGCCATATACAATCTTCACTAGCCGCATAGTTGCTCTTTATAATTGATTTACTGGGGTCTTTTTCAATAAATTTACAAGTATTTGGACCTAAAATTTGTGGATAAATTATTATTTTTCTGTTAAAAATATAAGAGAATTACGTACAGGCGAGTTCATCACTATCGTCGCCGCAGTCATTCTTTCCATCACACTTATAGGAGTTCTTGATACAATTACCAGCATTGCATCTGAATTGGCCTATATATTGGAAATTACGCATAATAAAACAAAAGGACAGTTGTAATGATTGACAGGCAAGAACTAAGTTAAATAACCTTCTAAGCAGGCATCTGCTTCACATAAAAACGGTTTTCTAGCAATACAAGAGTCAAGAGAGTAGTATTTGTCGTATATAAAATTAGAATTTTCTTTCAAATAGGTGCAATCCCCTAATTCCGTATTAGGTTGATTATAATACCAAAAACCCTCAGATAGGGTTGCTTCTCTATCAGACCCATGCCAGAGGGCTTTGTCCTCTAGAGTATCGCCCGATACGACCTGGTTCTTATTCTTGCGAAGGCCTGAAAAAGATAATGGGCAAAGTTACGACACATGAATGAATCATAAATCACATATAATGACCTATCCAAAACTCAGTGATAGTATTATCAAATAGCTTTGCCTTTGTAAACTTTATATCAGCTTCTTCATACGAAAGAGTCTCAATGAGATGAGCTCCATACCTAATTAGAAGGGAAAATAAGTTAATTCACAAAAAAGTATTATTCGATTGAATAAAGCGCGTACGCTCTACAAGTAGCCTGAGCATCCTCCCAATAGAGTGGTGTAGGGAACCATTTGAAACAGCTACCCAATTTGTCATCTAATTTCCAATCTATAAATAAAAGTGGGTGTTATGGTATGAACAAATTTTTCACGCCCATTCGTAAACACCGCCTAGTAAGACGGTATTTAATTAACGTTTTTACGTTAAATTATCTTTAAATAAAGCTTATAGAATATTTAACAGAAAATTTAAATAAAAACCTGCAGGGCAACTTAGCTGGAATTCCTAAAAAAAAGGGAGAAAAGGGAATAAATTAAAAAACTATCTTAGCATGGTTGTTCAAAAACAGGTAGAGAAGAAGGAAGAAGGCACGAATTATAAGATTTCACTGCTTACTTGTGTCGATAAGTTTCCGATTAAAGTTAAGAAGATATTTATTAAAACTAAAAAAATCATAGTCAAAGGTTACCAGCACCAATCAATTCAATATATTTTTCTTGTACATAAATGCTCAAAAATGTCATCAAAGGCGATAATGTAAAACTATCTTAGTTCCGATATTAAGTTTTGGCCTTTCTCGTGTAGGGTGGAACAAGGCTTGTATTGGGCGTGAGTGATAGACCTGACTCATATTCGCCAAATATATTTCGCTACGCTCCAATGAAAATTTATAAAGCGTACGAAAAAATCTGTTAATATTATCTTTCATTCCATAACTATTTTATCAATGAATATCAAAGTATAATAGAGAAAAAATGTTGTGGAATTTCATTTACTTTTTAGCATGATCATAATTGTACTCTCTTTCTCTGTTTGTGTGTATATAGTCTGTCTGTCTCTGTCTGTCTCTCTCTCTTACCCTTTGTCTTCTCCCTTTCTCTTTATTTTAAAACAATCTTTTTATTAAACTGCTAAAATCTTTTTAAATTCCTTTTTATTGATTTAACATATAAAAAAGAAGTTATTTAATGAATTTATATAAATATATATATAGTTTATTGAATTTTTTTGACTATTTAAATAGTGACACAATGAAATAGATTGAACTATAGATAGATATTCGAAAAACTTTCTTTCTAAAATTAGACAATTTATTCATAAATACATACATATATATATATATATATGTGTGTGTGTGCAATATCATTTGCACAAGCAAATACTTATTTATAGAGATATTATATATCTATAAATAGCTATTCTGTTAATGACGTAGGATAAGAATGAAATATCTATTGTTGAACTAAATTCTACTTTCTAAGTATAAAAATTTGAATTATGGTTATATCGCTTTTCCTCTTCATCTCAACCCCTTCGGTCCTAATATATTTCGCAATTTAAACATTCCTATCAATAGTTTGATGATGAAAGATGAGATAATCGATTAACAGTATTTGTAGTATCAGTGAATTGCTTTATTCTTTTTCGACTAATTTATTATATAAAAGGGCAAGGAAATGTTTGACTTAAGATTACCTTTTGATCCTTAAACCATTAAAGTTTTACGTAAGAAAGATTCAAATCGATATGGACTTTAAAAAGAAAAACTATATTACAAATTACGTATTATACTTACAAAATAGGAATACAATAGATCTATACGTACAAGGAATTGCAGCATTTTATATGTATATAACCCTAAATCGTATGTATATATTTGTTTGAATATAATTAAAATAATATTTGATTGAACAGTTTTGAAAAAATCCAACAGATGGAGCAGGTAGTGCCTGTCATATCGTCTGTAAACTGTTGAAAAAAAGTTTTATATATGAGAAGAATGAGAAGTTTTCACATACGAAAAGAATAATACTAAGCAGAATACCAAGCTTAAGGATTTAAGATCCTATACAGCCTAAGCACTTATTAGACCGTGTAATAGTTATTAAATGTATATATCAAAGATTTTGTTATTTATTGCTGCATTTTCCTTATTGTGGACACTCCTTTTCTTGGTAAAAGATGATATATTCTTTCTCTGTAGAATTATGACACCTTATTCACTTTATATATATCTATATATACTGTATATATATATATTTAAATAGATAAAATAAGCAGTGAAAACAAACTTGTACAAAGCATATAAAGTTTGCAGAAGTTGCTTTTAATAATCGTACTATGCATAATTTATAAATAACAAGTAAGTATGAAAGTTTATAAAAGAATATGCATAAATCCATAAAAAACTGTTAAAGGTGAGCTAGTTCAGTGTATTTTAAAATAACTGGTTTGTTAGTGGAATTTGTAAACAGAAAAAGTTAAACTAAAACTTTGGTGGGAAAAATTTATGATCTTTTGAAATAGTATGGTTCGTTTCGATTTAACTATAATATCGAATAAGCAGTAATTGATTGCATGATTAAGAAACTACAGCAACTATGTCTAATGTTTAACGAGAAAGAATTCTTTTGTTATTAATTCCTTTATGCTGAAAGAAAGAAAAAGGCCATTTAAGGATAAACTTTTGCATTATAAAAATGTTCTATATTCATACCAGTAGTACTCAATTGTAGCTTCCAAACATATGCTAATCAATTTATTAAAGGAATAATAGGCCTTTAGAAACAGACCAGACGGTAGGTATTTTTTTTTCCTATTTCTAGTTCTCAAACAGAGCGCTAGCTATTATCAATCCAGGGTTGATAAATGACCTGGTTATCACCAAGAATATATTCTACTTAGAACGAATCGATCTACTTTTATGAATAATAATAAGAGATTTCCCTTCTACGTCATTTAAACGAAAATACTACGTCACACACAAGTCAACTTTCGGAAAGTTGAACCCTTAGTAAAATATTCTTAACATTGGAGATATGTTTTTTTGCCCTTTGAAAACGTTTTGTAAAAGCGCATATCTTGAGGTTTCCTTTAAATGACTAGACTCAAAAAGAAATATTTATTTATGATCAATGAATAGAATATGATAAAGCAATTAGAATAACCAAAATCGAATAATTAATATGAAAACGAAAAAAACTACAACAACCGCTGCAATCTTTGTGTAGGTTGAATTCAAGTTCAATTTATTAGCCTTCGATTTATATTTATGAGAAATTTCAGCCAAGTTCATTGCTTTCTCATCCAAGGCTGTAAACAATACAAACAAAAAATTATAAACAAAAATAAAGCAAAATTGCAAACATTTGACTTTTATTATTATTATTCACCTGATAAGGCTTCTCCTCTACTTAAAACATCATCAATATTCTGAACCATAATTTGTTGAACTTCTTTCAAGTCGTGCTGGACCTGGTTTAATTGAGGCCTCGACCTAGAGTCCATGTAAACTTTTCTACAATCTTTCATAACATTATCTGTGTTTTTTATGTACAACAAAGAGATTAGATTTATAAATCATATATTAATGATTGTTACGTAATATACCGAATTCAATAAAATGATACGGTCTGGTAACGTATGGTATTTTGTGTCCATACTCGGAGGCAAATTTACTCTGTATCTCCTCTAAGTAGGAAAAGGCTAATCTTTTAGAGAATGCTATAGTCGCTAAACATAGATAGACCACATTTCTTTCAATTAGATAACTGTTATAACAAATAAAAAAAAGTAGATAAGTTTAAACTTCAAAAACATCGCTTAAATACAAACTGGAATAAGTGTTCACCAGTTTGTAAGCTTCCTCTATGTGGAGAAGTATCATTCATTCTCTTAAAAAGTTGTTTAGCTTGATTTTGGTATTCAACTAAATTTCTACCAGCCTGAAATTGGAATAAATAAATAAACGAAATTAAGAAACAAACACAAAACGGATATTTTAGTTAATCTTACTTGTTCATCCTCAGGTATAGACGCTGATAACAATAAACCGTCTTGAAGTCTTGCTATCATAGTTATCAAAACCATTTTGCCCACTGTATGATAAACTTCCTAATGAAATAATTCAATTACTAATTATTATATTCTCAAAAAAAGTGTATATGTGGTATTTTAGCGACCGCTAATATGACGTGGAAACGGAAGTTACTAGCGCCACCTATTAGAAAGAAAATTTTTCTTTCTAATAAATAAGTCTAAACCAAAATTCAGGGTTTTACCAAAATATTTTGCTTCCAAAGTCGAAGGAAATCCTAATAGAAAAGAAAAAAAGAAAAAAAAAACAAAAAGACGGACTGAGGTCCGACTATATTAACCGGGCTAACAGACAGTGCCTATTCACAGTCGCGATCCGACTACTGTTCAACACGGGGAGTTTTATCTGCTCCGTTTCCGGCCTCGATCGATTCCTCCCTCCTTAGACGACCTGGGGTAACTGGCCTCCGCCAATCACTCCATGCCGATGCTGAGCTTAGTTCGGACGTCTGATCGACATAGAACACTGCCTGCTAGGAACCCCGATCTCAAATCGTTCCGCACTCCGGCCTCCGATGTCGCACGGATTACAGGAGTACGCCACACTCCCAGCCGATTACAAGAGTCTCAAAACTCGTATATAAACATTTCATATAACATTTTTCTTACGAATTTACAGAAAATTTCTAAAAAATTAATCGGAAAATCGTATTTCTTTCGATATCGTTCAATAAATAAAGGCTATCAAAACTTTATTCTATCACTAATTTCAACCGTTTATTCTATAGGCCTATGTCTGTGAATACGGCATGAAAGTAATGCAATACTTAGACTTGTTAAATAAATATACACCTAGAGTATATATATATGTGACATTTTTATGAAAAAAACATGAGAAATTGCATATATCTGTTTGATTCTATCTTCATTCTTTCTATATTTTTGGGAATTTATCTTTAAAGCTTCATAGAGGAAATAGATGGACCGATAGAAGGAATACTTATGTTATCCAAATTGTCCATTTCGTTCGATGTCTCCTTCGAACGTCTGCAGTAATCCAGCCGCCAACGTTTACAACTTATGGCTATAGTTAAAAATAGAACGACTGTTAATATTGAAGTCCAGGCAGTGTACACATGAGGAACGGAGGTTGCTCGGGTACCAGAATTTTCATCCACTGATACTAGGGCTATAAGTGAAGAAACAAAGTAAATGGTATTTTGTTTGTATCTTTTTTTTAAAGACAAAATTATACGTACGGTCTTTTTTTAATTGTACATTAACGCATATATAGGAACCTGGCGTATTTACACAAGCGCCGGATGCACAGGGGTTTGCCGTTGTTACGCATTCGTTTATGTCATGACACGAGTGAGAATTGTCAGATAATGAATAACCTCCTCTACAAGAACATTTGTAACTCCCTAAATTTTTGTATGAATAGGAATTAGTTTAGTAGTGAGAAAGGATTATATAGTTCTATTTATAAATATTACTAAGCAACCTTCGTTGTCGGAACATATGTGCTCGCATCCGCCGTTATTCGTATCACATTCGACGCGATTTCTGCAAGATCTCCCATTGGAACTCAATGAGTATCCATCTTCGCATTGACAAACGTAGCTTCCGATCGTATTGGAGCACTTTGCTGGTGCGACACATGTATGAGTGTTTGTCTGGCATTCATCAACATCGCTAGTTCCACCCCCTGTTCCGGGTGGTCCAATTGGCCCCATTGGGCCTGTTGGCCCCCTTGCGCCCCGTTCTCCTTTAGAGCCATCAAAGCCATTGTTACCCTTACTACCCTTTGGGCCAATGAACCCTGTATCTCCCTGGCTACCTGAGTCCCCTTTGTCTCCTTTAACTCCGATATCTCCTTTGTCCCCTTTTGGACCAATCGGACCTCGTTGCCCAGTTGAACCTGGTGGGCCTGTAGCACCAACACCACCCTCACCATTGGAAGATCCAGGT